GGGAAAGAGGTGGAATAGGGTAGAAAATGGATGGAGTGTTGGCATGGAGTGTATATCACCCTGGGATAGAAGCCTGGCACTATCTTTTCCCTTCCTGAAACCAGAAGGAGAACAAGGAGGAGACTGTGATGATATTTTCTCCCTTGCTGTGTCGCCCAGGGCCCACAGATTCATGACTGAGCCCGGTATGTTTAGGTTTTTGGTTTTGTCTATTTTTGTAACTTCACTCGTGTTGGCCAGTGAAGGAAGGCTGGCCAGTTTCATTATGTTCCCAGGAAATTCCATTCTCTCATGTCCTAGAGTGAGGCTGTTGTGCTTTAGATGCCTATCTACCTCTGATTAGATTTGAAAAAGCATATAGAACCCCCTGCTTTCCATTGGTAGCCTATTTAAAATGACAAAAAAATTACTATTTCATTTATAACCTTGCTTGCATGTCTGAATCCAGATGCCTTTTTTAAAAAGAGGATTAATAATATGAACGCCATCACTTATAGAATGTTTCTCTTGTAATGAAGTGCAGAAGAAAACTTGAGTTCACGTTTAAGCTTGTTCAGTATGTTTTGTAAGCAGCTTTAAAAAAAGGGACACAATCACTTTGAGGCCAGGTTAATATATAAAAAAAAGGAAAATGTTTAAAAGTATCTCCTACTCTTTTCATGGTTTCACTATTTTAAATTATGTATTTGTGAAATACTTTCAAAATCAGTTAAAATTGGCCAAATCAAGTTCATTGAACACTGAAGCATGAGTGCCCTCCTCAAGTGAGTTGTCCCAGAAGCCTTAGTGGAAATGAAAACCAGCCTTTTTGGCAGGATTAGCTCCTCTCTGATCACAGAGAGGGAACAGCCACCCTGTCTGCACTTAGCTGAGCAGGTGAGCGGGGAATGTATTCAGCCTGCTTCCAAAACCCAATCTGGCCACAGGGCTGGCAGTGTCACGTCCTTCTCGAAAGGACTCGAGGCTGTCCTGTCTGCCTGCTGTTGTCTACATGATATGGACAGATGGGGTAGAGAAGGGCTGTGAGACTAGGCACTGAGTGCTGGGACCTGCTCCTATAGCAGGTACAGGCCATCCACGTGCATTTGAAAGCACAGACGGGTAGCTGGGATTTGCCTTGCTATCACAGCTAGGTTGCCTCCTAGCTTGGCAGACAATAAGACAGTCAGACTGATTTGGCCTCAATATCAGCTTTCAGGTCTGCCCAGCAAGCACAGACCCAGCCGGTGACGCTGACTGGATACATGCTGTTGACAAATGCACAAAGTAAACAAAGAGACAGGATATAATAAAAGAGTATTGTCTGGTAATTTCTTTCAATAACAGTGATTTTAAGTGATCTTTTGGTCCTCTGTAACAAAAAGGAGATGAAAAATGTTGATACTGAAGTATCATTTTGAGGCGTGTCATATTAAAATACTGATTAATTAAAACCAAGGAGATTTTGCTTGGCTCTGGTGAGGTTCCATTGCATGTGAAACCAAAACAAGTAAGCTATAAAATGCAAACTCAATAGACAAGGACAAAGGTGAACAAAGCAATTTGGTCAGTTTAAGCAATGGGGAAATGAAGCAACATTTTGACTGGGGAGGCATCAGAGGGAAAGACACTGGTCTGAGACTCGGGAATATGATGAAACAAACCCAAACCTTCCATGAAACCACTGAGCATTGTGCTTTGCGGGCCATTGGCTTGGTGATCTCGTCTCTTTGAATGTGAGATTTCCCACTTTGTCCTCAGCCTGGGATGTGGTCATTCAGCTCTGGGTATCAGTTCTGTTTTCCCACCCTTAATACACAAAGGAATTCATGTACTAAGGATGATGGCAGCAGCTTTACAGTGGCAACTACGGGGCCCACGAATTAGTCAATCATCCCTGCTTTCTACCAAAACTTGCTTGAACCTCCTGAGAAATGGCCTTTTTGGTAAGAAGCAAACAGGTCACAGATTTCAGGTTGCAGTCTTACTCCTGGAACTGTGAGCACTGATTATCCTGTGGAAAAATCCAGGTAAAGAGGAGGCTGCAAAATGGTCCTTTTCCTTCACTGTGCTACTTTCCTAATGCTCTCCTGTGACATTAGCCATGGTATAAACTAATTCAGGATCCTATTTCTCACAGGTCCATTCCTTCTGACTTTTTTGGAAAATTATTTCTTTAATCTAGGCACCCTTCTCTAGAAATCTCATCTACAGTTTCTTTTCTTTTTTCTTTTTCTTTTTCTTGGAGCAACCAGCAAAATATTATTTGGTAGAACAGTGGTGGGAATGCAACCCACTAATCAAAAGGATTCAAATGGATCTACGCACTGCCAAGCTCTCTCCTTCCCACCCAGCAGAGGGGGGAAAAAAAGGAAAAGAAAAAAGAGATAGAGCGAAGGCACGGAGCTTCTCTCCTTCAGCAATCTCACAAATGCAAAACCTTCCACTCCAGTGACTCCTCATTAACTTACCAAATCTGACAGTCTAATTATCGTAGCTGCTTCACGCTTAGAATAAATAAATACTAAAGTGGGTGTTTAAAGAAATTGAGCAGTGAAATTCAGTCATCTAGACAGTCAATAGAGAGAGAGTTTATTTTAAATTTTTATATTCTTATGTATTTATATCATTTTAGGAAAGATAATGAGATAGTTGTCTTTCAGGCTAATTGAGTTCCCAGGTTCATGGTTGCTTGCTGTCACAATCTCGAACTTAGCTGTAACTTTTGTGCCTTAGAAATCTGATCACTACATCCCCATTTGCTCTTTTCTGCTGATAACCGGGTGAAGGCAGAAGTGCACCTGAGGATGGCAAATGACTACATGGGAGTTCCAGTCCGGATGTCTTTCACAGCAAACAAGACAACTAAATCTTCTCAGATTTGCATTTAAGAGTGTTAAGGGAAAGTGGAAGTTAAAGAAACCTCAGATATAACTTGCAATCAGGCAGAATACAGAAAAATGTCTGCTAACCTCTGATGCAATAGCATCTGCCTCCATGAAGGGTATTAACAGCACTCCCCCCAAGAGCAGTTCATCTCCCTGAACAATAAGACCTTTATAGAGATTCTCTGGCCTGAGATCAATGGGAGTCAGAGCATTTGATCCATGTCTGTAGGACTTTGTTTCCACAAGTCATGTGGGCCAAACTTTGCGCCAGTTGTGCTTTTGCAAGAGCATGAGCTGGGGAGTCAGCAAAGGAAACCTTCCTTCTTTTCCCATCTTCCCCTTCGCCCTGTGCTCCTGGTCAGGGCCCAGCACCTGCCAGCACGATGTCTGCTCCAGGCCAACACCCAGGGGGAAGAGCTTAAGCAGGGCAACCTCTCCAGAGGCCTGTGCCCTTGGCACGCATCTACTGTGATGTTGCAATGGCTCTTTCCTACAGTAGTGGCATAATGACATAATACAAAACCTCGGTGTTCTGACAGTATTTATGCAAGCAGATCTTCCACCACTGTGGAGATCAGGCCAGGTGAAGTGAGAGGGGTTTTTTTCCTGAGTTAAGTGAAGATTTGCATTATCAGCTCACAGAAAAGACTGCTTCTGGTTCAGGAGTGACAGATTATTTGCTTCTTAACACCAACTTTGGTTTATTCCCTTATTAAGACACATTATAAACCAGTCATACACCTGGTGGGAACTTCGTTTTCTAGGTGTCTTTATCTGATTTGCAGTGAAGAATAGTCATTTGCTGCATACAGAGGTGGCAAAGCACAGAGGTAAAAAAATGTGACTATATAAACCTTTTAGCTATGAAGGAGGACCTAGGGAAAGCCGCCAACCCAAACAAGATGTCCATGAAAGCCAGCTCTTCTTTATAGGTGCCCTGTGATAACATCTAACGGTGCTGGCTAATCCCAACAGTGATGGGAGTTTTGGTAGACAATGGCTTGCAGCCTTAACCTCCTCTTTGCCTAGGTTTGCTTTGCATTAGTTTAGATGCAACAGGCATTAAAATGACAGTGCTCTGTCAACATCAAGTCTCCCTCTTCCTCCTTGTCTCTGAAAAGCTGAATAGCGGGCTGTTTTAGGAGAAATGGTACAGTGTCATCACCACCTGGCACACTGGTTTTGAATTGCTGGGGGGAGAAAACAACCAGAGACCTACCATACCCAAAAGGAGCAAGTCCCTCCTAGTCAAAGCCAGGATCATATCCATGCAACACGCAACCCTCCTCATGGAGCACAAATTGGATTTGGTGACTAACTGCTGTGCCGATGGTATGCCCAGGGTTGAATGTCTCCTGACATTGGTCCAGTGGGAGGTGGAGGTGCCAGCTCAGGCCTCCCCGGCCCATATGCCCAGGTTGTTTGGCCACAGCTCTTCTTGCAATATGTTTTCTGGGGAGCACACTGGTACTAACCCCAAATCCCACTGCTCACCCTCCCTGCTTGCGAGCCCACTCTAAAGCATTCAAGGGCAAAAGAGAAGGAAAATAAACCCAATCTATAACTAAGAATAATAAGCTGCAATTGTTACTGTGGCTGACCTGTCTGACAGCAGAGTGAGATACCTTCTCAGAAGGCCCTTTGCACTTCAGGACTGACACTGAGTTGAGAGCACAGCTCATGCTTTCTTGATTCAAGGATCTCATCTTTCTTCCAGGAGTGATTAATTGGACAGAAAACATTCTGCTTTAGCAGGTGGCAAAGGGTTAGACTAAAGTTTTGTCAGAGCTGCTATAGTGCAGGGCTGTACTGCACAAAGATAATTGTCTCAGGATTGGCTTAGGGCAGAAAAAGGACAGCAAATGCTCCAGTTTTACGAAAGGTCATCACTGCCACCCCTTAGGCTACAAGCCACAGTGGAAGGAAACTAGAGAATCCCATGCTCCTCTCCTTTGTTGCCATATCCAGAGGTGCTGGTGGCACGTATAGAATTAAGGCCGCCAAGACGATGAGTGAGGTTTGATCCTGGGCCTTAGCAGCGCCTTAGCACTAAAGGCACTGGAGCGAGCAGCTGTAGGAGAGGCCCATCTGTAGACTAGCCCCACTCAGGGACAGAGAGTCTTCCTCTCTTACAGCATGGGCTACTCTTTTTTCCTAGCATTTTCCATCCAGAGGAGCATAAGCAACGGCAACCTGTTCCCTCTGCAGGAGCTGACCACCAGGAAGCAAAGAGCCCCTTGTTCCCTCTCCCCCTTCCCAGCAGCAGCAGCCAGCCCCTAGCCATTAGCATTCCCCTCCATAATCAGAAACATGCTATTTGGAGGGGTACTTACCTTTGAAACACTGATTTTTCCAATTAATTTTTCCCACAAATTGACCTTTGAAAAACATCCTCCAGCTTCTGGCTTGTTGTAGCAACTTATAAAAAGGACAGTTATGGCTACAATTATTTCATAAAAATAGAAAATAATTTCTTATGGGAACCTTTTATTTTTTCAAATATTGTTTCCTGCTTACTCTCTCACACACCTTGGGATCAACCTCCTCCTCCTCCTCTCACCTTTCATCTCGAGCTCATTCTTTGCCCTTCTGCTTTAACTTTCTCCTTCAGAGGATGGGGACTAATCGTCAGCATCCTCCAGAACAAAGTGGAAACAGAATATATTTAAAATTTGCACTGTGTTATTGTAGCAACCAGAATTTTAAAATGATCCAGTTAAATTCCAGAATAGTGTGATGCCAAAATGACACAAGAGAACAAATGTCTTACACTATTACGGCAATGGGGATGGCTACATGGGAAATTATTCAGAATTGCCTAATTTCTACAGGCTTAATGAGTCACTCATTAATATGGTCTTGCATGATCATACTGTACACTTTGATTCTGTTCCCAACACATTGGTTACTATGATAACGCCATGCAGTTCCCTGTCCACAAGGTACTTCTCACCGCAATATGGGGGATAATAAATATGGGATGGTGCATAAACCCAGGTGAAATGAATCTATCCCCTCTCTGGCAGCGTGTCGGAGAGACTGACGCATTATGCCAATCTGTTTTCTCATTCCTTCTATTTCTCCTCACTCTCTCCCTTTCTCTCACACTGTCTGTCTCTGTACCTATTTTTTTCCACACTCTCTCTCTCTCTCTTGGCACTGACACTTTCATCTTCTCCCTTGGGGATTGGAGATGTCACTGCGGGAAGTGCTTGTCCGCCTCTCCAGCAGCAGCAGAGCCCTGTGGCTTTGACAAACCTCATTTAATTGGGAGGAAGCCAGGAGGGTTTGAAAGAACTGAAACATCCACGAAACTCCTTTTATCAGGCATAATTTAAACTCTGCATGGAAAAAACCCTATATGTATAAAGAAAAGTCAACTTCCCTCCTGCTGTGCATGCTCCCCTCCTCCTCCCCCGGCACAGGCAGGCTCCTGCGAGATTCCATCTTTTCATTTTTCTAAAAGTGTCAAAGTAGATTTGTGCTCTGTGGCTGGGTGAACAGAAAAGGAATGCAGATGTCTCTTGCTCATGCACATACACACACAGAGCACCTTCTGAAGGGCGGCGGTTTGGGAGAGATGCTAGCTGGCTGCTACTTCACTTGGGATGTGTCACAGGAGCCAGAAATTAAGTTTTCAAATAGCTTGACAACACAGCCCAAGAAGGCTGCTTCTTAATTGCCCCATCTTAAAAAAACCCACCCAACTAACTAGTGTAGCTGGTGCCCAGTAGGCAACGGGGAATGCAAGGGCTCTCTGGCCTATTGCCCAAAAGGAGGGAGCTTTTCCTGGTGAGGAGCAGAACCTGTAGCTTGAGAGACCCTGTACTTACTGTCAGCTCAGGGCAGAAGAGGCAGATCTGTGTGTATGCAGCTGTGGGCTTAAGAGAAAGGAGCAAGGGAAGAAGAAAATAAAGCAGGTAAAACTGAGGAAGAACTGGCGCGACAGGGTACGAGGAACAGCTGTTGTCTCCAAACATCAAAAGGGAGCAGGAGGAGCGGTCCAAGGGAATTGGGGCTAGCACATCATGCTGAGCAGCTGAGAATTCAGGACATCAGGAGGGACCAGCATGTGAGGTATGCTGAATACACAGTGTGAGCCAGCCCGAGGGAAAGCTCCGGGCCCCTGGGGTTACAGAATGGGGGAGAAACGACCTGTCAAAGCATATACACCTCCGCTTTGTAAATGTACCACGGCGGCAGCCCATCCAGGCCCCCTTCTAGTATTAACACTGTGGTCAAGTGGAAGAAAACAGAAAAACAAGCTGTCAGATTTGCAATGGGATGTAAACTTTGCAGCATATGGGAGTGGGGAGGGAAGGCAGGCAGAGAGAGACGAGATTGAATGGCAGAGACTTTCAAAATACAGAAGAAACTCATAATAAATAGCACGTGAAGTAGCTCTTTCTTGCTGAGATGAAACTGAGAGTTAACTTACCAGCAGGAACATGTTAGAGCTGAGGAGGCAAAGGGCTGAAGAAGCCCTGAAGAAGCGCATCTTGCGCAGAGATCCGGCCTCAAGGGAAGGCTGTAAGCATCCTGGAGGCCAAATCCTCTGCTGCTGGCACCCTGCTCGACCAAGGAAAGCATGAGAAAAAATAGCATAGGAAATGAGCACAAGCCAGAAAGCTGGAACCAGAACTTGACCCAGTCCTTCTCAGAGCTTGAGGCAGAGATAGTGGAGGGACACAGGGGAGCCGAGTAAACCCACCCCAGCTATATAGCTTTCCAGAACATTTGCTTTTCCATGTAAGTTTGATTATGTTGGAATATATGCACTCAGGTTTTCAGCTCAAACTCGTGTTTTCAGGGGAATTTTGAAAATAAATTGTTATTTTGCAAAAGGAAGCTTGTAAGTAAAAGGGAAAATGCTGCTGGGGATACTGTATTTTACATGCTGTAACTGGAATATCAGAGGTTGATGTTACCAGTTTACAGTGACAATGCAAGTGCACAAAATAACCTGACTGGCCCACTGAGCAGACCAGAGGTCAAAACTAAAAAAACTAAAGAAAATACCATTTCCCCTTTTCCTACCGTAGTACCAGTAGTGCAGCTGGTTGTAAAATGTGTTGGGGATTCACAGAGATGAATCTGTTTCTCAGGATGTGTGCTTAAAATAGATGTAATACACACATGCTCCATGCCCAGCAAATACCAATGCCAAGTGGCTGCTTTCTAGAGGAGCACACAGCTGGGGATGAGGAAGTGGAAGAGAGAAAACAAACCAACAAGGAAACAAATAAAAACAGTAATTTAGTTTTACAGCTTTTACTTTGTTTGTTTGTTCTGATCATGTTTCAGCATCAGGAGGCCCATTGGAGCATGGCCTGTTGTGCTTCCTCCTGAGGCCCCTGCCAGTGCTTCCCCTCCAAGTGACATCAGGCGCCGGGATCCCCCTGCCCCTATACTCCCCCTCCCTACACAGGACATTTGACATGATGACTTTTTTTTTTTTTAGGAGATAAAATGTAAAAAAAAATAAGGGAAAAACCACAGGGGGAGAGAGAGATATCCTGAGAAACAGATTTATAAAGACTATCTGGCCTCACTGTAGTAGGTAACTACTGAATTCTCACCTCCAGCAGAATGATTTGAGCTCCTGCTTCCTTGGGGAGAGGGGACAGGACAGGACCCAGCTTGAGGCTGCTTGCTAGAGCTGCACCACAGGCATCCCCTGCCATGGCAGGGTCTTACTGGAGACCCTCTGCCCCCTTGGTCCCTGCTGCTGCAAGGCTCCCACACTGGGCAGCAACATGGTTCAGAGCTTCCCACCACGGCTCAGGCTTCCTGGTGGTGGCTGAGCTCTGCACAGAGCTCCCCTTTGATTTCTTAATTGGCCATGGAGAGTCATGGCTGAGCAGTCTGTATGAAGCAGCTCTTTCCTTCTCAAGAGCCGAGCATGCCAAGGCAGCCATACCTGCATAAGGACTCTGTAATGTCGAGTTGGAGCTCGCTCACATGTAGCCCTGAGCTCTGCCGCAGAGGCGCTGGGCCAGCCCATTGGTGTGGGGCTGTAATGGGGCCTGTCAAGGGGTTATGACTAAAAAACAGAAGTTGCAAGGAATATAGTTATTTCTTTGTTCAGGCTGAGAAAGGCTTTGTTCTGTTCCAGGACCTGTGTTATCAGGGTTTGGGACATGCTGAGCTTTACATGTTTCTGAAGATGTGCATGACAATGGCTGGCATTTCAGCAACCTGTGCTTTGCTGAAAACTTCAGCATGTTTGTTCAACCCTTCAGAACAGTGTCTGGGAAACCCAGTTCCAAAGGGCAGCATATTTCCCTCTGAGCATGGGTCCCAATGGGTCCCAAGCATTGAGACAAACAGATAATAAACAGCACCAATGAAAAATGTGGTTACATCCTCAAAGAATATTTGACTCTTGACCTGTGCATGAACACAGTCCTGAGGACAAATCCTGTCTAGTCTTTTGCTACATTATCTATAAAGCTTGTTGTGTGCCTCAAAATCAGTATTGGGGGGGTTTTCAATTTTAATGACTCTCTGAGCTAGGTTAAGACACTTTGCCTGATTATAAATTTCTTTCATGGATACATATATACATTGTGTGTGTGTGTGTGTACATATATATGCCTGAAAAATACTCCCTTCTTTTAGCACACTAGGGAGTGATTGGGCGGTGTTGGTGTGCCTGGTCAAGCTGAGGTATGTAACCATGGCCCCAGTCCCATAGCTTTTGGCCACTGAAGAATGTGATTTTTCCCCTCCTAACTAATCACAAGATTATTTCATTGTCTCGTGAAAATGCTGTCCTAGCATGCCTTCCTTTACCACTGTTGAGCAATGTTCCTACAGTCTGTTTCCAGAAATGAAAACTGGGACAGTGCAAAGTCTGTCTTCAGTCTGGGCAAGAGGGCCTGGGAAAGTACGACCTTCTGAATTGGACTGTGCCCTGCAAAAAGCTGCTCATAATGTCATTGAATCACTGCTTATCTGAGAATAATCACTACTCCTCTGAGAATAATAAACCCACTATGTGCCTACCTCTACTGAGATCTCTCGAAATCAGTTGCTTAACTGACGTTAGATCTGCCTGTTACTACAGAGCCACCCTGCTTGCCAAAAGAGCTCATTTCAAGTTAAATGATTGCATAAAGAAACAAATAAACCCAGAGGCGATTTTGACATTGCCGTTATAGGTAGCTTACCTGTCACAGATGACTCGGAGTCTCTGAGGTCTCCTGGAAGCAACCAGTTCTAGAAAGTGTAATATGCAATCACAGGATTAAATGAAAATCAAGCCAAAAACCGTTCTTTGAGCCCTTAACAAAAACCATGTGCTCAGAATTTCAAAGAGCCCTATAGAATCTGTCATCTTAGTATTTATAAATATACATTATTCCTATAGGATTTGAGTACCAGCATTGATGTTAATAAGGCTGTTCCAGTTCTGTAACCCTTTCCTTTCATACATCTGTGAATACAGGCCCTGGGCCTCCTTCTGTTACAGTGCGAGTCTTCGCTTTGACTTCAATAAAAGCACTATCAGTCCCTGAAGCCTTTGCATGAAGGAAGCAGAAAGAGGTTTGCAGGCCTGAATCCCCTGCAATTGGCTTGGCTTGGATGCTGAAGGGATGCCTAGCTTCATGTATTGCCCTGTGGGCACATGGGGCTTTTCTGCATGGAGATGAAAGAAAGACTGGGGACGGAGCAAAGGCACTTGGGTCTCACTCTCTTCTTGCCCACTGCTCTTGCTGTCAGTCCCTCACTAAGTCTGTTGTTTATCAAGTTAACCAGTTTCATGCAGGCTTTGTACTTACTGAGTCAAACATCTCTACCAGACTGGAACTTCGCAGAGTTTGCAGTTTTCAGAAGGCTGTGTTGTTGGTGCCATTTTTCAAGGACACATTTCTAAACGCTGTGGAAAATGTAGAGGAATACATTCCTCAAATGTTTTCTTACAAGGCATGAATTTTCCCAGGCTTAGATATGAATGAATGGCTTAAGCCTGGAAGATTTCCCCTTAGAGCTGATCAACAGAGACATTTTCTTGCATCAGAAAGGCTGTAATTTCCACCCAGCTACATTTGCTTGAGCACCATTTCTGACAGTGGTGATGAATGGTGCTCTAGCCATGGAAAGGAGAGCAGGAAGGGTGCTGTAGACCTCCTTTCCAGCCCAGCTCGGACAAGCATTCCCCACAGCAGCGAGACCACCAGGAGGCAAGCGCCACTGGTCTGTTGCCAGTCAACTTGGAGCTTGGCTGGGGCTTATGCTGCATGGTCCGAGAGCATCTGCTCTCCCTTCCTGCCCCAAAGCACCAGCCACATCATCCAGGGACAGAGGCTGATGGCTGCAGGCAAAGCGGGAGCACCCTCTGCCTTTGCTTGCATGGCCATTTCCAGAGTGCCAGGCCCAGGGCCTGGGTCACTCAGTGTCTGACTTGACACAGAGACAATTTGAAAAAGTGCAAATGACTGAACTTGCAGCACTTAACCTTTCCAACAGCAATCTTTCACCATTAAGCCAGTCAAGCAGGTTGTTAAACCTGTCTGTCACAGGGTAAGTAACAGTTCACAACTGAAGTGTTCTCCTACACCCAAATACTAAGGTAATTGCTAAAGCAGTAAATGGCAATATAACCTGGGACAGGATTCATGACTGTGTAGGTGCCAGAGCAATGGAATTATCGCCAATATATAGAAGTTATATATGAGTATATTGAATAGCCCCTTCCCAAATCAGTCACTGAGATTAACTCTGGCAGAACATTCCTCTTGGATCACTAATAACATTTTCTCTGGATCCTCTTTCCTTCATTTTGCCCCCTCAACTGTAATAAAAGTGTAGAAATAAATTGTCCATATTGAGTAGAGATGTAAAGTTTCCAGGCAGAATAGAAGAAAAACAATTTAAAAATTATTTGGAAAGGCATAAGGTTTTTTTTGTATGAGGTAGAAAATTTTACCTCTTCACAGAGCTGGCCAAAAACTTTCAGATGTTGCAACTTTCTGCCAGAAAGTTGTGATTTGTGAGATGGAAACATTCCATGGCAATATATAAATTTCCTTTAATGAAAATGTCAAGATTACTTAAATATTGTACTTTACCTCTACTGAAATCTTTTAACATTAACAGTCTTCAATTAGTTTAACATAAAAGTTAAAAAAGGCATGTTCAGTTGGTAACAGCAGGGCAAAATGTTTTGATGATATCTAAGTGAAATGTCACTTTGTTTTTGTGGAATGCATTTTCAGGATTAACATTCCAAGGAGGAAATAGGATTTTCTTTACATTACAGATAGAAATATCAGCTTGCATACTGGAAACTGGGAGGAATACCTGAATTATAGTCTTTGCTGTCTCGAGCAAGCCTCTTGACTTAGATTTATCATTTATATAACATGGAGATTAATAATTATCTACAAGGGGTAGTGTGAGAGCCAGTGAACCAACTACTGCTGTCCCTGTCCAAACACATCTCCCAGTAGAGAATTCTGCTTGAGTGAGGACTGCCAAACTTGCCACTTCGAGTATACAGAGCTTTGATTATAAATGGAAGATATGGGTAAGAAAACAGTGTGTCTCTGCTCAAGGGTTTAATGCAGTTAACTAATCCACTTTAAATCAGTTCAGATTAATCTCCTGACTGACCGTTGTGTCGAGCAGGGTAAGAACAGAGCAGTAAATATTTTCCCTACTGTAAGATTAAGTCCAATCTAAAATTGTAAAACAATGTAAACAGCTACTCCTTAAAGGTAAGAGATAAAGAATATTTGGATACCGTTCCAAAAAGTAGAAGAACTACTGATTTAATCGTTTTACACTGATGATATAGACATAAAATGATGGGATTGTGTCGGGCTGATTGGCTTTTTTAACAACACGAGTAGATCTGAAAGGTAGCGCTTGGGTTTATTTTCTCTCTGTATGCAAGGCAGTGTGTGCTAATGAGGAAATACCTTCCTATATGAAAACCCAGGTGGAAGTGAATAATGAACTGATAATGAGGCAAGCAAGCCAGAGGACAAAAGTTAAACTTTCCTAATTGATGAAGAGAGAGAAAGAGGATGCCAAGTGCTGCTGGATGACGGTGCTAGGGTTGCAGGCTCACAGAGAAAATTTCTCTCATTAGTGAAATCTCTGTGGCTGCAGGACAGAAGCAGAGCTCTGTCTGTGTGGCAGGCTGGAAACTGCAGTCTGTGCCCAGTGCCAGACAGATAGGAAGGTTCCCCACAGCCTGGCCAGCATATACTGCGGAGCTGCTCTTCCCTTTGGGATCAAAGCCACATGCAGTTTATTATGACAATAAAAATTTCATCGTTTTAGAATTCAGTTTCCAACCATCCCATTTGTTAAATGAAGCATCAGCATAAAAATTGAGATAAAAAAAAGTGGGGGGGGAGAAGGGGGGGGAGGAGAAGCACTCGGGCTGCAGACTTCATCTGCTTCTCAAAAATGTCATTTGAAGTTTGCATTTCAGAGCCTCCTGCTTGTTGCCTCCATCTGCTGGTGACATTTTGGAAACGCAACAGATGATACTTAAAATCCGTACTCGGGAGCAGAAGTTGACCCTGGAAAGCTTCTAAATCTCATTCAGCGTAGCAAAGCCTGCAGATATGTGAAAAACCAGGCTTAATTTAAACATCATTGCTGCATCTGAAAAAGCCCAGTGTAAAACCGGTGTCTGCAAGGTGAAATGATACTACCTGCCATAGGAAACTTGATTAGTCAGCCTGTGAGATAAATCAAGGAGTAAAGCTCACTCATAGCAAGTTCATCATGTTATAAACAAATAAGCACTGTTCCCCACTCTTTGGAATCCGAATGTCAGAAAAAAGAAACAAAAAACAACTTGGTACATCAGGCGCTCCAGTATTCCCAGTTTGGCAAAAGCACTAGCGTAATGTCATGGGCTGTGAGTCCTAATCCTTTCCTGCCCTTGACCCCTGCTGTCTAGATTCAAACTTGTAACCATTAATGGGGCTGGATCAAAACACTGGCCTTCTGGTGTCACCAATGGTGTTTAGAGGGGATTTAAACTCCCTGCTTTTCAGCACAGTGAAATGAACACAGCAGTAGATTAATGCAAGGATTTGAGCTCACACAGCATGAGAGCTTTCAAAAATAGTGTTAACAGAGCTACAACTGCCTCTTTCAGGGGAAGCAAAATGAGGGGAACAGAACAAATGAACAAACACAGGGCAAAGCCTTGTCGCTATGGGCAGGGCTCCTAAGCCTGCTGAGCCAGGGAGAGGGCCAGGGAGCACGCTGGGACACGGGGCAGGAGCTTTCCCAACCCTTCGTGTTCTTCAGGAACTGGTTCTCAAGCCAGGGCTGGGGTAAAACCATGCTTTCAGGCCACATGGCTGCTGTAGGTCTGGCCACAGAAGGGTTGCTCACCCATCCTTCCTATTCACCTGGGGCCAGGCACAGGTTGAGATTTTTGGCAAACGGTAGGCAATGGGCATGAGGCCCATTTCTGAACTTCTTTGCGCAAGAAGGCACAGGGGCATAGGGTGCTCAAATGCTCCTTTGTACATTTCATTCCTTGCCAGTTGCCCATAGAGGGGGTAGGGGAGCTGCTCTTCCTCCAGCTGCCCTGGCTTGTGCCTGGCTCTACAGCTCTACAGCCCTTACAGCCCCTACAGCCCCGACAGCCCCGACAGCCCATGCTGTATCTCCTCTTCAGATTCTGCAGCAGGATGTTCTCAAGCCCACAGTAGTGACAGGAAAACATCTAAAGGTTTCCAGCTTTCATTTCAAAGATTCCTACTAACCCACCTGGCCCAGGAACCCTTCCAGTAACAACCTCAGTCTGGGGCTGAGCCTACACTGCTGAATCCAGTGGGAGTTTTGCCATCGACTTCAATGAGAATAGGATCACACCTCGGTGCTTTGTTTTGCCCGTGTTCATTCTTTGCCTCGGGCAGGAACCTGTTTGTTTGTTTGCTGCCTGCGCTCACTGGGAACATCAATAGGACTAGCTAAAAGCATTCAAGCCATCAGATTTGGGGAAGTGCTACGAACTTTTTTTTGCTTATCTGAACCATCCCAGGCACCCCAGATTCTCAGGACGGGGTTGGAAATAACCTCAAGAGAGAAGGTTTTATCAGGCAGACTCCACAGCTTCCACTTGGGCTGAGCGTGTCCTGGGACAGGGGAACAGCACTTGTGCTTCAGGGAAGAGAGGGGAAGTGCACAGGAGCACGTGAATGGCAAATATCTTTAAACAAAGAGACTAATTTGCCTTCTTACCAGCAGCCCCATCGAAAACTGACTTGATTTAGTTCATGACTAGGGCAAATAGTCCAACCTTATATGACTAACCTTCTTCTATACTGGATTGTATAATCCAGGTGTGAGCCAAGTGCTTGGTTCCAGTACGTGGCTGGAGCAGCTCAGAGCTCCTTAGGCAGGCTCTGAGGAGGGGAAAGGGATGCTGCCTCTCCAGTTGTCACAGCTATTGCCCCAAATACTGGTTCAGCACCCCTCTCCCATGTGTTTGCTAGCATGGTGGGATGCTCCCACAGGAAGATGTCCTCTAACTCCTGCATTTCTGTCTGCTCCAGACAGAAAAGGCACCAGCGTCACTGGATCACAGCACAGGTCAGTTATGCCCCACTGGAGTCCATTAGGGAAACTTTCTATCAAGCCTGAAAGCAACTCAGACTTGAAAACTGCTTATGATGACTAGACTTGTCTTTACTGGAGCCATTTCCATGCTGCCTAGGTGCCTGACCTCTCCCTCCCAGCCCTGCCACTGGCACCCTCCCCTGTGGCAGAGGACAGCACTGCTTCTCAGGCAAAATAGAGCTAAGTGGGAGTCACGACTCTGGGCAGTTCTGAGCACTCATACATTCTCTGTTGTCTGTACTAGTTTCTTTGCTAGCGTAGCCTTAATTCCTGCACTTTTAGATTGTCCCTCTATATAGCATCGGGATACGTAATCATCATCACTGAGAGTTTTTGGCCTTGTGTGAGCAGATGAATGGCATAAAAAAAGTTTGTTGTGATCAGTCTGTCCCACACATGAGCATTCCTTTCCTCCCAGACTATCCTTCCCAACTTGTGGACTACCCAGCCAAGCCTTCAACAACTTAGAGAAGAAAGTGCTTCCTCCAGCTGTCTGCTCTGTGTTTGCTCCCTATCCAAATTAAACTTGCTGTGGACAGCGACACATTCCCATTTCACGCTGGTTTGATTAATGTGTCTCAGCTAATTGTGTGAAGGATTCCAGTCCTTTCGACTGTGAGACCAGGTTATTGTTCAGCCAGTCGCGGCTACCATGTGAAAATGGGGGCTGTTTAGTGTTCATGCACCAGAATCAAAGGAGGGGCATCTTGGACTGGGTCACAGACCAACACCCACTTCTTTGAAAAGATGTTACTATGCTCTACTAAACCTGTAAACCTCTTGCTCAAAGCACGTCTTCTCCCTCCTCCTCTCCCCCCCTGCTCTTTTTTCCCCCTTCCAGATAGACAGGCTCCCCCCACCACTCTCTTAGGGTACAAGTGAGAGAGAATGGCTAGATTGTAGATGGGTAGATTTCACATTCTAGGGTTTTTAATATTTCACTTTTATATTTCTCTTAGAGAATGATCCTGCTGAGAGGCTGAGAATCAGTGCTCATCATTTCCCCCTCACTGACACTTGAATATATTTTCCCAAGAGAAAACATTAAACAAAAAGAGAGAGAAAGAGAGAAAGGGGGAGAGGGAGAGTGACTGAGCTAGCTTTTCAAAGCATACTTCTCAACCTGCCCACATCAAAATAAGAGACAACTGGCCCTTTGAAGTCCAGGACACAGACTTCTCTACCAGCCCATGTGGAAATAAAAGAAGCCAGCTTTATAAATCACACAGATTTCTCACCTTGCCTACATCAAAATCAGGGACAGTGACCTTTAAAACTGAGGTTTAAAGGCCCCCAAACCAATCTCCATAAAAATAAGGAGAGTTCAGATAAACTGTGTCTCCAGGTACCTGTCAGCTTTTCCAGTCTAAACCAGGAGACATTGGTCCTTTGCACTTGATGAGTGGAGACTAACTACATTGCCAGCACTTGCAGCAATGAAATCTTCCATCAGCTCATGTATGCCCAGCGTTCAGTGAGGCAACTTTGCCACACCTGTACCTTTGCTTGTATCCTAGGCCAATCCCAGTGTTGTTGTAGGTCCTACAACACCAGTATCATTAAGTAGCTCAAGGGATTTAGTAACACTGAAGCACAGGATTTTTCATAATGAGAATTACTGACGCAAAAATTAAGTGGCCAGTGGCTCAGAGAAAAGGCTGGCATTCTTGTGAGTTAAATCCTACCTGGGTTATAGTTAGGGAGCTTGGAAAGTCCTAGCCAGGTGTCCTCGGTTGGGACCCCCAATACCTATGCAAAAGAAGAAAGAGAGTGAGAAGAGCAATAACATCTGTCTGCTGGTACCCTGTCTTGGTGTGGAGCTGGAGGAATCGGTCTCAATGGAGAGAGACTGTGGCCTTTACTGTAAACCAGCGCGGATTCACAGCGCCCTGGCTTGTGTTGGATCTACCACTGCGCATAAAGGACACTGACATTTTAGCACATGATTTTATAGCGGAAAGGGTCGTGCTGAGATTGAATGTTGTTGCTGCTGGGAACATCAGTGAAGGCGTATGCAGCCTCACTGCCAGGTGCCACTCCTGCATGTGTTTGCCAGCCCAGGGGTCACATCATTCAGCTCCTTTTGCCGCTGAAGGTGTCCTCCTATGCCAGAGCTGCACCGGGGACTTAATCTGTCCACTTGCACTGGCAGGGGCCAATACACTCAGCGGCAGCACTGGCTCTGAGCTGCGATAGAAACCCCTGCTGTTTTGAGGTGAAAAAGAAAAGCTGGCAGACAGGTCTACTGGGAGGTGCTAGAAAGCAGTCCAGTGTCTCATCTTGAAAAGTCCAGAGCTTCAGCAGTGTATCTGGCCTTTATTATGAATTGTGGGCTTCAGAAGCAGGTCCTCACTGAGCAAAGTCCAGGCCAGTAAAGCCTCCTCCAGCCTCATTTTAGTTGCTGAAATATGTGAGACCAAGCATATCTAGATTTCTGCGCCGGTTGCAGTTGTGGATGTTTAGTGTTGTTATTATTATTACTTACCGCATGCAAAGTGCCTTGTGCCTATTGATATGGGTGAGTTGTGCTAAAGGGGTAAAGCCACATATTTAAGAAGAGTTCACAGCATGTGATACTGTATTATAAATGCGTACTGTTAACTCCAAGTGTTCAAAGTTTATCATCCAGACAGCCCCCCAAATTATCAGATTTCCTTACAAACCAGTGAAATTTTAACATGAAATATGTCAGGGTTTTTTATTAACTTTCTCTTCTCCAACATCAGCTTTTTCTCACATTAGTTACACTTTGCGTACTATAAACAATTCTTTTTCCTTAAAGTGAAAGCTGGGGTCTATAATATGGGGAACTCGGCCTCACAGAAACTTGCGATAAGATTGCAAGAAAACAGGCATCAGTAAAAAAAAATCACATTAAAGAAGGAAGAAATATAAAGCCTGGCTGTTGCAGTTGCTATGCATCTGGTAGCTGATTGCTTTTCTCACTCACAGTTGGGAAACAGCTGTGAGGACAACTGCAGCTTCCTGGAGAAGACAGCCACAAGCAGGGTCTGCATCTCACGGCTGGCACATATTAGCGTGGTGGTCTGTGGGGGGAAGCAAGCTAGGGTGGATTGCTGTGGCCCATGTTTCCAAACTGCTTATGGATTCAGCCCACCACAGCAAAGACCAAGGGGTAGGACTTTTGTCTCTGCTCATCTGTGAAATCAGTCTTGGAAGCTGCCCCAAATCAGCCTTGGAAGCTTGAAAGCTCCCCAAAGAGAAGGTGTCTTGTGGCATTTAGCCATATGAGGATATTGGAAGGTGGCTTGCACCAAGGGTAATTTGACAGCGCTGGATGAGGATGCATTCTTGACTGGTGTGTATATCATATAAGTAGGGCAGGTCTGCCCAAAGCAACTCTGTGTGCACAGGAAAGAGAGAGCTGGAATCTGAACCTGAATCCAGAATTTGCTCTCTTTTGCTACCATCTTAGCTTTCCAGGAAGCCACAGAAAAACCTTTAAAATATTCTGCATCGGAAATCCAGGTGTGTGTTCTGAGGTGCCATCCCTGCATTCACCTGGGCCCTCATTCTTCAAGGTTTCTTGTGAGCCATCGGGCATCAGCCCTGAAGGCATCAGAGGGAGCTGGGTAAGTTCAGTACACAGAAACATCATACTCTCTGGGGTCAGCTTAGCACTCTGCCTCTCTTTGGTGAAGAATTGAAGAAAATAGTTATTTGTGCATGCCAGTACTTTGCTACCTAAGGTTTTCAGCAAATGCTTAAGTTTTGCTGAGTTGAGGTGCAAAAGCATTCAGAGTACTAATCACCGAATGCCATACGAATATGGATTTATATACATCTTTTCTGAGTGTTTACAAAAGATGCTCTTACAACCCATGACTTTGGATCTGGTTTTGAATTTCCAAGGTAATGGGGCAGGTGATAGTTTTTTCTTTCCCCCCCCCCAACCTTTAATGAGATTCCTTGCCAGATCAGACAATTTCTTTAACTGAAATAAATTATACTCTGGGGATTGTTTTATCTGTTGTGTATCCACCCTAAATCTAATTACTAACTCTCTGGCCCATGCCATCAGACAAAGCAAAACAGCTGCTCTATACTTGCTACTCTGACATGCTTCCCCAAGCAGGTACTTTTTACTGTAGTGAAAGGTCTTGGAGCAGCTCAGTTCAGTCCACTTTGGAAGAGGCATAGTTTCAGCCAGAAACATATTTACAATGCCCACATTTCAGCAAGCGCTTTAAGTTGGTATAAATCGTTGTGTTCTCTCTCTGCCCTCTAACTGCTAGCTTCTCCTGTGACGAATCAGATGAAGGAATCAACCTAGCTGATTTTGCTTAGTTTTTTTGGGAAGTTATATTTTATGTTTTTTGTAGAGCAGCCTTGTAGTCATTCATTTGTCACATGTTCGGCTCAGCCACAGAAGCATGCTGGTGGCATGCTGCAGCCTAATCCAGCCCACATGAAGTCCTTCTCGGCACAAAATTGATCAGTAACAAGGGAGTTTTTGAATGCAAAACCTATGCTTCATTTCTTGAAATTTGAATGATGGATGTTAAGTTTATCAGGTTTGCTTACCCTCCACGTCATGAGCAAACTGGAGACACTGCAGTTTGCATTCCCTCAGGCCATACTTCCATAAACAGCACTGCCAGCCCAGGTAGCTCCTTCCTTTTTGCCCCCTTCCCATTTGGTCCTGCTCCCGTGTCATCCCTTCATTAGTGGTCATTAGTGCTACTACTGGTCATTAGTGCTACTGTTTGTGCAGCCAGATGATGAACTGGGTAAATAAACTGTTCTCATTTAGAGTAACCCAGGGAGAAAACCAAATTACAGGTTTGCCAGTTCATGTAGCTCCATGTATAAGTGAGGGGTGACACAGGAGAAAAAGCAGCCAGGGATAGAGATGGGGGATGCAGACTGCTTAAGGTGGCACTATCCTCTAGAAGAAATGCTGGTGAAATGACAGTCAGTCAGTCCTGATGATTCAACAGGACAAACACGTTTCATAGAATGGGGATTTTCCAGCTATATATCTATACAGTGTTTGAACCAGCAGTCCTACATGGAGATGAGCATGCTGGGTGATAGTAGACTCATGCACACAAATGCAGACAGTCTCTAAACCAGTGTAGGGTGCCTCTATTATTAGTACATGAAAGGAACTGACTATTAGAAAACAGTAGGAATCCCCGTTCTGAACCTCACACTCGGCAAAATATCTCAAGTTAGGCATCGAAAGCCTCTAAGGAGCTTTGAAATCTTGGCCTAACACAGAGCCTCATTCCAGGCTGTATAATAACATAAAACCTTCTGTGAAAGGCACTAATTATTTCATGGGTCTTAAAGCTTCCTCATGATTTTTAAATAAGGGGGTTTTTGCCTTCTATAGCACAAATCCTATTAATCACGGTATTAGTTATAATACCAGAGAAATGACGATAGGGCTATAACCCTCTGACTGCAAAACCACAGGAAATGTATCCAGAGATTTCAGAGCCATAAGTGGAAGGATACCCTTCATTCACACTCTGGGAAACTGGATCCTGCCCTGGCTTTGAACCCTGTTAATTGGCCAAGTGTGGATTTTTTTTTTTCCCCTCAATAATTCTTTTCTTTTTTCACTCTCTATGAAAGAGAAATTCAGCATTTATTTAAATGGACTGAACTCAGGTCTAAGAATTGGACCCAATTCTCTGTCTTTCTATCACATTCTAGCTAAAAGCAGAGAAGAAAACCCTACCAGGCAGGAGCGTTTCTGGATGAAGGGATTAAGAAGGAAAAATCTGACTTACACAGACTCTAGGTATAAAGTCCTTTCTCACCACTTTCCAAATTTCATTTTCCTGTACTTTCTCCTTTGAAAACCCACATTTGGGAAACACTCTGTGCAGAAGATTAAATCCCTGGGAGGAGATGTGAAAGGGCAGACACCTACAGCAAAGCCCAACAGGAATCTATAGGTTGATCTTCCTGAAGAGTCAGTAACAGGGTCAGCAGCGAGCAGTTGGGAACATACAGAATCCACTACTGCTGGTAACTGCCTCAATTCTACCAAGCCACGCTGAGGATGTGGCTCTGTATTTCAGTTTCCCCAGCAGAAAGAACAGCTTAAGAGGCTCCTGAATATGTCTGCTCTCACTCGCTGCTGCCTTTATAAAGTAATTTCACACTTTCCATTATGCCAAAGCAGTCTCCAAGGCTGCACCATGAACTGGATGATACAAAATATTCCAAGTTAAAATGAAGAAGGATCTCTAACAAACCTCAGGGTCTTGCCATTTTCAAGGTAGTTTAAGAGCAGTATTAGAGCTTCTTTGTGAGAATATGGTGTGCTGTATCCTACAGTAAGTAAAGGATTTATCAAGAAGGAATAGAATTTGTAGTACCTGCACACCTTTTATGCTTTCTTCAATTTGATGTCACTTTAATTGGCTTTAAATTTTTGATGAGATGACAAACATCAAAGGAAAGTCATTTGATTTACTCCTGTGTCTGTAAGAAAGTTGCCAAATACAAAACGGGTTACAAAGTCTGCTATGAACTTGGCAGATTGGACCAAATTATTTCTGCTATTCACAGGACCTATGCTTAGGACTTCAAAATTAAGTAGGGGGCTGGATTCTTTTTCTCTGCCATTTCAGGGTGTATTTTAGTCACTGCCCAGATCTTCGTCAGCTCTTCACAAGTACCAGAAGTTCCTGCAAATATTGGCTGGCCCTGGATCATTTCAACAAATATACAGCCTGCACTCCTGCAAGAAACCCAAGGTATTAACTCATTCATGTACATGACATATATGATTGTTGGGATGGGCAGGGGAAAAAGGAAGAGAGAGCATTGTTGGAATGGAAATTTAGAAATCTTGATTTTCAAATGCATAAATCCTGATATAAGCTGTAAACCCTGTATGTTTTGCAGCTCAGGTCTGAAAAGTACCAGTCTGATGTGTAGGTATTGTATATGACCTTACATAATCTAGTTGAGAGAGAGAGAGAGAGTGTGTGTGTGCGTGTGTGTCAAGCAAGGCAGGACGAGGGTGTCTGTATATATGTAAATAAATACAGGCTTCAGTGAAGGCTAATATACCTCTACCGTATGGTGGTAGGCAGGATGTAGCATTATAGAAAACCCTACCAACTGTGGGAAGTCAAGAAGTTTCCTTTGGAAAGGGCCATCTTAAATCCCTCATCTTGTAGCACTGTTCTAAGCACTTGCAACTGGCCCTTGTTGCAGGTTGTATGTACTATCATTAACCTCATCCAAGTCCTACAGACTGAATTAAAAAACTGACAAGTCAAATAGGATGGGACCAGACTAGAGATTCGTCACATTCACATCCCTCCAGGGTTTTAGAAAAAAATGAAACCGTCAAAGTTCCATACAAGTCTGCTCTCATCTCCTTTTTCTCATCAGCATCACCCACTAAAAAACCCCACCCTTCACCAGCAAGACAAGACAGGTGGTATCCTTGGAAAAGAAACCCACTAAGCACCATCTTTTTTTCCAGCATCAGACAATTTGTTTCAGATCACTTTCAATTTATCCTGTTACAAACCCATCTGAAAAAGATGGTCATGGAAGAAGCCTGTGGAATACTACATTGTTTTCCATGAGAAAAAGGTGCAAAATTGGACTGATAACAGTAGGAAAGATAAACAGGGAACTACTGCACTGTAGTTGAAGGATACATTAGACACAGAAAGAACACAGAGGCACTAACCACTCGAGTGATTTTTCCTTCAGAAGCAAGTAGCTCTTCACTGGAAAATGGAAGGTAAGATTTCATAGCATAAAGAACTTGGTGACAACATCAAGTTAAAGTATTCTTATTTTTATGCCATCCCCTGCTCTGCATTTGTGCCAAAGCAAACCAGCCAGCTTAAAAAAGAAACCACCAAACCCTGCAAAAAACACTTAATTTTGCTAAGGTGAATTAGTCCTGCTGGCAATAATGATGAGATAGTTGTGATCAGGGTAGGCTTACCTATTTGCAAGTATTTCCATCTTTTATTGCATGATGTAAAACTCTGCTCATTTACTTTTTAATTTTTTTCCTCCGAACTTTTTCTAGCTTTCCTGTCTTTTCACTAAGCCCCATCCCAACTTTTCAGGTTTCAGTCTCAATCTTCTTTGGTTATAGCAAATTTGAGTTCTTTAAGCTCAAATGTCAAAAACACAGTTTTGTCTAATAGACTCTGAAAGTATTTTCACTTGCTGAGCAACAACTAGTAATCTCTTCTGGTCATCTGTACTGCTGTGTTGCCCCTTGCACCTTGTTTTTGCAATACCGTAGATGCTTTTCCCACCTGGCTGTGGTCAGCTGAAAGCATGACATGCAACTCATCTGCAGTATTCATTTTGGTCATCCTTGTGCATCAGGTGATGCTAAGCCTGTTTGCAGATCCATATCTAATGCTGTTTTCACAAACATCTCTGCTGCACTTTCCCTTAGCTTCCTGTACCTTAACCTTGGGCCTTGTGAGCTTAGCTCCTTGCCTGTCTAATACGCTCTTACAGGGTCCAGGCATCATGAAACTTAACCCACAGCTTTTGCGACATAGATTTTTTGTGTTTCATATTGCTACCACATCACTAGATGTTATTTTGGAGCCCACAGATTGATTCTACTGAGACCAGTGTCATACCAACCCTCTGTTTTCACAGCTGATGTATGCGGCCAAATGGCTCACCCTATTTTGCAACCACAGGGGCTGCTGTAATCCACTGATTCCATTGCACAAGTTTAACGGTGTAAGGTCAAAGCAATTTGATTTGTAGGGAGAAGAAGAATCAACTCTACATGTTTTTGGAGCAAATGATCCCAACATTCACCCACAGTTTGGTGAAATGGCCTTTAGACTGGCAACAGCAGAAACTTTCTATGGACTCACTACAGCCCCCAAATGAGACATGCAACTGGACCTTCTACAGAGAATCTTTCTAATGAATAGTGCTGGCTGTGCTGTTTCCTAAACTGAATTTAAGACACTGAGGATTTGGGGACTGGAGGTACACATCAGTTACTAAGGAAAAGGGGCTAGTAACAGCGAAAGTGCCCTATAATTGTGGTCCTTGTGACCTAACAGCTCTGCTGCAAAGGTCTAAGGCAGCAGAGTTCATGGCAGACAGAAAACCAGATCTGCTATGGTTTCTGTTATTGCTGAGAAGGCTTCAAATCCAGACAGAGCAATAAATGGAAGTAAGTAGAAAGCTGTTTTTTCTCTTAGATTCAGCTAGCATTTGCTAAGAATTACTCATGAGCAAAGAGTTCAAAAATTCAAATCTAATGAAACAGTCTTTTCACTAATGGACAAGCTTTGAGGAGAGGAACAACTTGTGGGTTGTTACAAATGCACCTTCTGGTAGAGCTCTCTTTTGTATTCCTGGTTTATTCCCATTATCTCTGGAAGCCTTTAAACCTCAGTGTCTCTAATAAAGACAAAACTATCAGAGCAACCACAACTGCTGGCAAGGAAGGGCTTTTCGTTTCCTGTCATGAGACTCAGCTGTCCAGCTGCCTTTAATGCCTGCTTGATACTGCATTGATTCATCAGTGGCAATTATAACTGTTTCTATCTCTGTGTGTTTCCAGATGAAATATGCTTTTCTTTACAAAAAAAGGCCAGAAGTAGGTAGAACAACTGACGTATGGGCACCCCCCTCTTTTCCCAGGTATTTTTATCTATCTGTTAAAGTAGGACTTTGGAAACTAGTGCTAGTCACCATATGAGCCTTTCAGCAGGGGCCTCAACTTTCATTCTGAGATATAGGATTTACAGTTACTACTCTGACAGCATTATGAGGATCCTTCTGGTAATGAGGATGATTCAAAACCATTTACTTTTTTAAATTTCCGAAGATTTAGACATCACAGAATCACGGAATGGCAAGGGTTGGAAGGGACCTTGGGAGATCATCTAGTCCAACCCCCCTGCTAAAGCAGGTTCACCTAGAGCATGTTGCACAGAACATCATCCTGGCGGGTTTTGAATATCTCCAGAGAAGGAGACTCCACAAACTCCCTGGGCAGCCTGTTCCAGTGCAGACATAGCGTTGTTTTGGTTTTCCCCTTTTCCTTCTTACCCCTCTGATACTTATTTCTGAGGTCCTCTTACCTCTTCAAGTCTACAGGTTTCTTGGAGGGTCTCAGTCCCAGATAGCTGCCTTGGGAAGAGCTAGGGCAGAGGGAGGGGTCTTTCAGGAAGAAGCCTTAGACATGATGTTTCAGCACGTGCCAGATATGTGTGTGAAGCAAGACAGTGACTGCTAAAGTAATAGAAGAGGTATAACCGGTTATGGGGATATTTAGTCCCAGTGAGCATAAACAGAGCTGGTTCAGACCACATGGTTGCATCTGCCTGCAGTCCCTGGGGCAGGTTTGAACACTGCACTTACTCCTCAGCCTGCAGTGCTGCATCACACAGTTGAGAGGCGACGTCATCAGGATTAAGATCCAAGATATCTCTGCGGCATCCCAGAGTTCCCTCTCCATAGTTCTTCTGGCATCGGGAGATTGCAATTTTATGTTTAACCAGAAATAGATCCTTTCTCTTGTTCCTCACCGAGCGTGGTCTGTACAGTGGAGCCCTTAGCCTATATCTCCCAGTTTGGCATAGCGAAGCAATGTGAACCAGGCTGGGGAGAAGGCTGTAGTGGGCCTGGCAGGTCCACATTAAATGACTGCACGGGAACTCCTATTCTACATGAATCTACCTAGGAAGATTCCTGTGATTTTTTTTTTTTTTTTTAATGGAAGATTATACAAGGAAAGCCTGACTGAAAAGAAGACATGACTTAAGGCACTCATGATGTTAGCAGCTACTAGTGCTGCACATGCATAAAGCACTTGGTGTTTTAAATAAAAAAAAAGTCTCTCTGATAGGCAGTATAATCTCCCTGAAACGTTTGTCTCCCTGAAATCCCTTAATTGAATCTTCTAAAGTCCTGAAGAGATAGTGAGGGAGAAAGAGGGAGAAAAAAGATACAGTGAGATTAAAGCAGCTTTTCTAGTTAGTCCAAGAGTGAGTGAGTCTCCTATATCTCTTTCTTCATCTATTCAAGGCCTCATTCACTTCCCATGTGCCTCCCACTGACAGTATTGCTGCTCAAGCACACTATGCATGAATTGCCATAATGTTTTATTTTGTTATAATTGGTTTCTTTAAACCAAGGCTTTAACACCCACTGTCTCATGCCATTACCAAGGGCATTCTGACCTGCCTTCATGTAAATTGCAGCATCCAAAAGACATAGGGTTTTTTTTTTTCTTTCTTCCCAATAGACAAGTAACATCTGTGTGAATTCACATTATTTCCTAATAGACAAAAATTGAACTTAAATGCAGTGTACATCAAGATAATAAATGACTCTTGTTAGAGGAAGTTACTGAATAGAGCTCACTGAAGTACTCTCTATTCTCTCAGCGTGACATCTTTCTTTAGGGCAAACACTTTGAATGTTGTTATTATAAGGAGGTGTTATAACAAAGGTGCCTATAGTGTGAATGTAGTTCAGTGGGACTGAGAGTACTGTGCTGTTAGAGCTGGTCAGTGCTGGATGAGATCTTTGTATACCACTCCTGTGTTGCTATTCATTACGCTAGAGCAGAGTTATGTCGTGGGGACGTTGGTTTTGCACAGGCAGAAATGCCAGGCTTTCTGTGAGCAGCTGAGGCTTTGGACAAGGGTCAACTTTCAGGAAAAAAACAACAGGTTTATACCAGCATCTGCCTAATACAAACCCTCCAATCTTCTAGGCAGGCATCTTCTTCAAACTCAGCAGACGTTCCTGAGAGACTGTCTGGAGGGGAGAGGTGACAGGTAGTGGGGGAGAGAAGACAGGGCTATTTAGACTGGCTTAGCAGCTGGAAGCCATTAGAATTTAGCAAGGTTTTTCTCCTCGGAGAAATCTTTAAGCACTTAAATTAGCAGCAGGCCGAGGGAAGTGAACAAACTAAAAACTCCTGTTTCCCTGAACTGCCCTCCAGACTTAGGCCATTGGAGTCTCTGATAAGCTGCAGATCTCTGGAGGGGGGATAGAGCCTGAGAAGACCTGGAACTCTGCTGTTTGTAAACTTACCCAGCCCTCTTCTTGCACATTCTTCAGCCTGCTGCCCTCCCACCCTTTCCCAGCCTTTGACTCTGCAGAACAATTAAGAAAAGTCCCGGTGTGACAGGCACAGGCAGAAAATTAACCAGTCTGAGGAAAATGTGAAGCAGCAATACTGTCTACAGATGTAAAATCACCCAGAATAAGGGTGGTTTCCTGCAACATCATGAGCTGCATGTTGTCTGTGAGTAAGTCAGGGCTGTGTTGCTGGAAGCAGGCTCAGGCTCATGCATAAGTGAGCCAGAAGCGGATGAACCCTAGGGCCCGGCTACATATCTAGGCCAGCCCAAAAGGACCAGTGGAACCCCTATGAAGTCCTCATCCTCTCCTGCTTTCTGCCTGCTTTTAGAGACCCCTCTCCCTTCATCTCTGCTAACGTGTGGCTTGTTTCCTGTGATTCCCAGACACATTAAGATTTTGGCATAGAGCTCATAAGGTAAGAAAGCTTTAACAGAACACAGCCCTTCTCCTGTATGAAATCCAGAATGTATCTGAGACATGTTCTTTGAGAAGAAGGACAAAGTATCACAGAAGTAATGAAAATCTCAGACACCTCTCTACCTCCACACCCATTCAGAAACCCTTTAATGCCACCTTTTGCTACCAAGGCCAAAGTAATTTTTGGTGCAGTTGTAACTTCACAAAGCCATTGCTGTAGAGCTACTACTGACTCAGCCGACCACATAGATACAAAACAATAAGTGCATTAGCAAAGGTGTTCTGTTGCAAGACCTGAAAATGCTTCATAAATGTTATGAAATGAGATGTACATATCTCATAAATATTATCAGATGAGGTTTATATAAATCTATAGCTGAGACGTAGTGACATCGTTCCCAAAAACTTCTAAGAACCCAGCAGTACAAAACTCCCCACTGCTCACACATCTTTTGCTCACAGGTGTTAATTCCTCTACTTATGACTGTAGCTACTGTAACTTGGTTGACTTAATTTAATTCAGATAAAGTTTGTTTTTCCCAGGGGACCCCAGATGCTTTGAAATTGGTCAGTACCAGATACCTAGATCAGAAGAATAATCCGTAGCTTCAAGCAACACGTCAGGAGGATGGTACCAGAGCGTGACCACTTCAGAGGAGTATGTCTCTCTGGGGATGGACTTGGGACAAGCAAGGCCTGCAAAATAAAAAAAGACGACTGCTGTGTTAGGACAGTCCTTCTACCTGTACACAGCCTAGATGATAACAATTGGAAACAGGACATTATTTTCTCTTGGATCTTTAAACGCAAGCAATCCCACTGCAGTTTACAAGCAATTGACAAAGAAAGTGTGTCTGGAATATATCTCTGGGCAAATCCGATCAAGCAATATGCTGTGTTTTGCAGGGCTTTACCATTTGTGACTGAAGCAGCAACCCCAAACCAATGCCAAGAAAGCCTTTTGGTTCAGCACATTGCTGTGGCCTCTACATGTTACATTATCTTCTGAAAAGAGAAGGGTTGATTTTCAATTCTCTTGAACCAGTTTTATGTGGTAGTAATTGCTCTGACTTAAATGAGTTTACTCCCTGCACCTATCAGTATACAGGCAAGAACAGCTGGATTGACCACAGAAATAGTTTCCTGAAGTTCAGTAAGAGGTTACACTTCTATGCCTTAATTGGCTGTGGATACAGATCTATACGTATGCTAAAGCCTCAGTCTAAGCAGATATATCAGCAGTATCCAAACTGTGACTCACCAAAGTCACCTAATTTGAGCTCACCAAGGCAACTGATGAGCAAGTTCTGGGGTTTCAGATCACGGTGAAGAATGTGTTGTTGGTGGATGTAAGCCAGGCCACGCAAAAACATGAAGAGCTAGAAAAAGCCAACAAAAAGCTGAAATTATTTTGTGTGACTTTGCATTGATACATTAACTCTGAACTTCAGGAGAACTCCTGGAACAAAGCAGAGACAAAGCAAATAAGAAACGAGTAAAATCCCAAAAATGAGTAGAGCTGGCTGAGGAAGAGAAAACTGCGGCGGGGTATGACTGCCCTGCAGCTTTCTGAGGTTTTCAGGGTGGAGTATTTGGCCATGAGGGCAGTTATAATGCAGTCCCTAAGTGCACGTTTTGGAAATCTAACTTTTCTTTATAAATGGACTGTAGATCACAGGAGCAAGTGCAACTTGCCAAAACACAGACCCGGCTCTCAGAACAGCAGATATTCTGATTTCAGTGCTCAAGACAAAGCAAAACAAAGGATTTAAGGAGCTGGAGGTTTTGCCCATTTGAGCCAGATGACACCAGCAGAGGGAGTTCTGCGGCTGCTGTACGCACCACCTCTTCCCAGTATGAGCTGGACCAGTGAGCTGATTTACTTGACAATGTGAACTGTTAACTTCAAGCTGGGAGAAATCACAAGGACCCAGTTTGAACAGATATAGCAAATAAGGTATGATGAATGAAGCAAGCAAGCCAGAAAGCAGAAAACAAGGGAGAAAGCAAGCAAGAAAGAAATATCTAACTCCCACCACAATTGCAGTGTAAATAAGCTTGGGATAAAATAAATTGGGCTGAAGTAAGGTATGAAATTGGAGAGTGGATAGAAAGAAAACACAGCAAAAAAAATTAGACTTCACCAGAGAAAAGACATTTTTCACCAGAAACTTAATCTGAAGAGAAGGAAAAACAGCGACACCCATAGGTCATTTTAGTACCAGGAAAAGGGTCCCTGTAATACTCTGCATACTTGCATCATATTCGATAGGAATCACTCAAGAGAAAAAAACCCCAACATTTGCCAGCAAAAATGAAGCAAGCTAGATGACCCGCCTAAAGGAGCAGTAAATCATTTTGCAGTTCAGTTCCTGCCGACAATGAAGATTTCGGACAGGAAAGCAGAGCAGCTGGCTAGTGTTTACTCACAGAAATGCCAGCGAGTGCATGTTACAGCCATGTACTCCATGGGCTTTACAAGCCCGCCTGGTAGCAGAGCCCTTGAGATCTGTGCCAAAACTACAACGCTGCATCTTGGACATATCTGAGCTTTAAGGATGTTTAAAATCTGGGGCCCCAAGAAACTTCATTAGAATCAGCGTTGCTTAACAACTATCTGGAAGAAGATGTGAACAAGGTGGCAACATCTGAAGATGACAGAAGTATTTAGATTAGCTGTGATAAGAAGTGGCAGTGAGGAACTTCAGAGAGATCTGACAAAGTCAGATGAATAGGCAGTTTGATAAGATACAAAGTTATTGTTGACAGCTGTAATATAAATTAACTGAAGCTGCTCAAGAAGGCATTCACTGAGGACATCTGCGCTGAAACCTTAAGTCAGTGTGCAGCAACAATCCTGAAAGTTAATTTAACGTGAAGATGCGTACAAAGGAGAGTAGGAGACTATTACAACATCAGCCTATAAAGTAAGGGTACATCTTCACCTGTGTTCAGGTCCAGTCCCCAAAAGCTGTAGTAGAAACAAAAGGGATTTAAATTACTGTAAAGATGAAGATAGTTCCAGATAAGGAAAGAATGAGATTTGAGAGTTTTTAATTAAAGAGATCCATACTTTATTCTGATGATAAGAGGATACAAATTTGCGTAGAGACAGATTTGTTTGCCACAAGATGTCATTGTTCACAGAAGCTGAATGTCCTCTTGCAGGCTCAGAAAATAGGAAGGGAGGCTAACTAAAAAAAGACTTTGGAGACTGAGAGGGAGGTTGTTACATCTTCATCAAAGGCAGCTTTTCTCCAGAGTGTTTGTCATACATGGAACAAACAAATATTAGTAAGCAATTTACAGTGACCGTACATAGAGGAAAATAACACTTCCTCATGCCTTAAGGGATACTAGTCTTTTAAGGAACTCACCATAACATTGCATCAATGAAGTCTTCCAGGATGCGGGGTTGATCTGTGTGCTAAATAAGAGGAGAACTCGAGGCAAAGCTACTGGTTTAAAATGCTTCTACCAACAATGCCTCTTTTGGAAATGGAAAAAAATATGCAACCACTATATAGTTGTCTCTCACCTTGGCGAACATCTGATGTGATGCAGCACACAAGGGTGTGCTTAAGTGCTGGGTCAAATGAGGGAACTGGCTGACCTGTTATCTCACCCTAGCAGTTTATGACCTGAAGCTGACAGTTAACAGAATTCATACTTGTGCCAGAATTAATTATAAAGGTGCAGTAAGAAGACATAGCCCCCATATTTTCCTTATAATTTGGTTGATAGCTATCAGCAAAAGCAACAGAAGTAGCAAAACTCATGCTGAGAACTTTTTTATTGGCATTCCGCCCTCCCCATGTGTCATGGTTTAACCTTAGCCAGCAACTAAGCCCCACATAGCCACTCGCTTGCCCCCCCGCAGTGGGATGGGGGAGAGAATCAGAAGAGTAAAAGTGAGAAAACTCATGGGTTGAGATAAAAACAGGTTAATAGGTAAAGGAAAAGCTGCACATGCAAGCAAAGCGAAGCAAGGAAATTCATTCACTGCTTCCCATCGGCAGGCAGGGGTTCAGCCACCTCCAGGAAAGCAGGGCTCCATCACACGTAATGGTTACTTGGGAAGACAAACACCATCACTCCAAATATCCCCCCTCTTCGTCCTTCTTCCCCCAGCTTTATAGGCTGAGCATGACGTCATATGGTGTGGAATATCCCTTTGGTCAGGTGGGGTCAGCTGTCCCGGCTGTGTCCCCTCCCAGCTTCTTGTGCACCCCCCAGCCTACTTGCTGGTGGGGTGGGGTGAGAAGCAGAAAAGGCCTTGGCTCTGTGTAAGCCCTGCTCAGCAGTAATGAAAACATCCCTGGGTTATCAACACTGTTTCCAGCACAAATCCGAAACATAGCCCCATACTGGCTACTATGGAGAAAATTAACTCTACCCCAGCCAAACCCAGCACATTCTAATACTAAACCATGACACCATGAAAACAACCCGCAGCTTGGTCACGGTGAACCATGGGGGTCAGTGCCAAATCTGACCCCAACTGGGATGTGAGCTTCTATCATTATTTCCTATCCTTGCTGTGGCTCAAGAACAGTACTTTTATTGTGTTGTCAAGGCAGAAATGGAGGCAAATAGTCTCTGCCACCCTAGTGGAGACAAGAGACAAGGAATCATTTTTGCATACAGCTGTCCCATATACAGAAAGAAAAGAGCAAAGCTGTGTGGCTGGAAAGCAGGAGATCAAGAAGGAAAATCAATCATTGCACTAAAGGATTACAACTTGTCTCTTTGTAGATGTCTCATAATGCAGCCACTTCCCAGTACTAGCTCCACAGGAAGCTAGAAAATTATCAACTCACCATGTACTCAAACACAAATGTTAATGTCTCCTTGGTCTGGATAACGTCATGAAGTGGTACAATGTTGGCAGGTTTCAAATGCTTGAGAAGAGAAGCTGGGGAAACACAAAAGGAAGATCAACTTAACCACTGCTGCTGGAAGTGGAAGGAGACAGTGCACACAGCAAGGCAGTGAAAATATAAAACTAGGGAGAAATAGTCCAAACTTAGCAGTTCTGTAAGAAGCAGAAAGCTACTGAGTCTGGAGGTGGACGGAACAGCTCCTTAAAGAAGCAAGCATCAGTGCTCCAGGCTTGGCAGGAACCTGTCCATTTCTCAGAGGTGGGATCTTGCCTCTGTCAGAAATAGCAGCTCACAGTTCCCAGATGTCAGCTTCTCAGCTGAGAAATAATTTCTTCAAGACACATGCCAAGAGGGGTTCCCAGATGTCAGCTTCTCAGCTGAGGAGAAATAATTTCTTCAAGACACATGCCAAGAGGCAGGGGCTGGGAGCCCCCAGAGCCAGAATGCAGCAGTCCCCAGCCTGTTACTGAGCTTCTCACCCTTTCCCCATCCACCTCCTGGCATGTGCCCTCAGCAGGGCCCTTAGGAGACTTCTGGGGAAAGTTGAATTTCTATCAGCTTCCAGCTTCACATTATCAGGGTGTAAAAATCTGCCAAAAGAAATCACTGTAAATGCTAAGCTGAATTTAGCTCTGAGCTGTTAGCTTGGAGAAAGCATATTGATTGCTTTCTCCAGTTTAAAACTCAAAGAGCAGAGATGATGAAGTTACTGAGTGAGCAGTAACTTGTTTGTATTTATACAACTTCGGCACATTTTTTCTTTTGGCCTAACCATCTAAAAGCATCATTGCAACTGTGTGGCCCTGGTCTTTAGGTGCTGACGTGCCTTTGCCAAGCCGCAGCACATCTGGGGTGTGGTGATGGAGAGGGCAGCACACAGAAGAGTCTCTGCCTCCATATAGACCACAGAGGGCTGACTGACGCTAAGACAAAAGCTACAGCCTTCTGAGCCTTTCAGCCTTGCGTTAGGTTTCTCATGATAGAGCAGGCTGACACACTCATGAAGGCAGCTTCTCAGCAGAAAGCTTCTCAAAGATACTCTTTATGGGAGAAGAGCGTGTGCAGCTTCATCATTTGCTACCACAGGTTTGGGACAATAGTTGCTGTAGCTCTGTACAGAGGAGGGATGTGGGGAAGTGATGGAGCTAGGATCACTCTGCCTGTAGGTCCCTGGCACTACAGAAGACTCTGAGCCAGCTATTATACCAAAACTGTGCACAGACAGAAGCCCCAAAGCGCAACAAAACCAGGGGTCTCTGACTCCAGGTTTTAGTTCAGCTTCTGATATAGCAGAATAGCCTCAGAGCTGCTCCAGACTCACCTTTCCCTGCTGATTAAAACCAAACTAGCTTACTGTCAGACCACACAGTGCTACAAATTTCATTCAGCTAAGGCATGGGCATACATTCTCGTTTCTGCTGAATTAGCCAAAGCACACAATACAGAGCTTGGGCCAGCCGTGGGAGGCCAAATGAGTTTTGGTCCTGGATAAAAGCTGCTTTTTGTTTTTCAAACAATCTGCAAAAGATATTTGAAGAGTTTCACGCTGGCAAGGCAAATTTATACTGGATTAGCACTTCACCTTTTGTGACCGTAACAATTTCACCTGGTTCTAAAAGCCCTACAGCGAGGTATACTGTATTACACAGCTGTGGCCTAAGCATATGTCAATACTGAGACTGCTGAGCAGTAAGGGATGCCTGATTCAGCATAACTGCTGGAAACAGCACAGATTGTAAATTAGTTCTTGCACAGAGCTGGGTGCTGCTGCAGCTAAACTGCCTCCAGTACTGAAGCTAGTCCATTTAGCTACCACGAGTATGTTCCCAGTGCATGACAGAATGAGCCATAAACATGCTCCACCTAATTGCACCTAATTGCCTATGAACCCAGTAAAGATACTCTGGCTAGATCCCATCTGCTACGGGAAGGCGCTGCTAACCTGGCTGTGTGATACCTCAGAAATCCCATACGACCAGAGCTGTTGCTCCAGAGGAGCAGTACAGAGGGTCCACAGTAATATGGAGAATTCATCTCCTGTACCCAAAGCAGGCCTCTGGGAACTGCTCCTCACTTGGCTGCTTCTACAACCCCCTGCTGGGGTGTCAGGTGCTACAGCCAAAACTGAGCTTTAAACGCATTTCGTCTCTGTGGGGCTTCCTGGAGTGAAGTGGCTCTTTGTCAGGAGAGTGCCATTCCTCCAGGGTAGCAGAGAATGCACCGTGTTAATAAATCTTGTGCTTTGTTTGTGCTACTGACTTACATTGTAAATTTGAGGTGTCAGATGCTGCAAAGTTCAGCAGTACACAAAAGATCTATTTAAAGTAGACCCTTCATAGGATCACACTTGTTTTCTCCCATAATGAATGAAGTTAAGGCCCTCAGCCTGTCCAGTAGAGCATGTTAAAGGGGTGCTGATCTTTAGAGCATCGTTAGTTCTATGTAGATAAAGCTTTTAAGGCTTATTTTACTGGTGGGCTACAAGTGTAAATGCAGAGCAAAAGCACCACAGCAAATGTGTAGAGGAAACTGTAACACAAGCCATTCTGTAAATAGGCATATTTAGGTATCTCTCTGCTTTCACCCAGAATTGGACTAAGGACTTTGTAAACCTTCTTATCTTAATTACACTGTTATAAACCTGGAGTGGATCCACTGACCTCTCTTGTTATTCTGAGTTGACTGGTACGAGAGTCCTTCCGTGCTAGGGTTTCTCTGCGAAAGCTGGCTCATCTGGTCCCTGACACTCCATCCCTGTGGTGACAAAGTCAACCCTAGTCTTGAACTGCAGTAAGAAGTAGAAAACAAAATATGTGTGACCTCTTACATTGATAGCTCTCACTAATACCAGACAATAGACTGGCACAAAGACTGCATACTTCTGTGTAAGGAAGAAACCAGATTATGATCCTCTTGGGACTGTAGAGCAGATGAAAATAGAAGCCTTAATTAACCAGGCAGTTTGTGAACTTGGTCTGTAGGGACGTGTAAATACATTCAGCCAAAATCAAGCACTTAAACAAAAGCATTTCTTTCTCAAGGAAATTGAGAAAGCTGCAGACATTTTGCCCAGTGCTCTACAAATTCAACCAATAGAAAGAATTTCTCACCGGGCTGCAATGATAGATGTCATTAAACAACAGTTTTACCGAAAGCATTTCTCTTCAGGCTGGGATCTGTGATGTTCCAGGTACCAGCTACCATCACACAGGAAAGCAGCACCATTTGTGATAACAGCAAGCTTGTTGCAAGGGACATTTCCAGTGCACAACTGCCTAATGCAACAGTGGCAAAAACTGCTGTGCAGTGCTAGTGGGAGTGAGTGGAAATGGGAGTGAGAAAGCAACTACAGAGCCAGGTAGCAGGCAGGAGGTATAAGAGGGCCCTACACTGCTAGAAAGGACACGCTCTGGCTGCAGCTGGCACTTGCCTTACCACAAGCTCAGATGCATCTGTCATGAAGGAATACACTGGCCAGCAGGTTCCCCCTCCATCCATCACATGCTCACCCAGCCCAGCACAAAGACCTCCTTCAAGAGGGCATAAGGAACGGAACGTTTTGGGAGGACAGCCAGCACATTGAGTAGGCAAGAAAGGACTTAGGAAGACATCACATGGAGCTTTTTCAGGTTAAACCACATGCTCTTCAAGAATGATGTTCCTCACTCTTCACTGATGTTTGAAGAAGCTTTTTATGTCTTACCTTCCAACCTGATCACTTTCAGTTGCACCAACTGGCCGTTGATCCTGTCAGCTCAGAGTGGAAGGTCACAAAAAGCACCTCAGTACTCCGCAAGACAACACTATCAACAGTCTCCTGGGGTGCTCCACACTTACCTAAGCAAAATTTCTGGGGCTTACTGCACTACCCAGGCCAAGCTCAGAAAGGAATTACAAACCACCTCCATCTTGTCTTCATTAGCAGTGAAAGGGGAGCCAGCCCACCTGGCTAGAGTAGCACCGTTCTGCTGAGCTGATATTGCTACAGCATGGCTTTGGGCAGCGTTCCCACTCTGCCCTCTCACAGCTTTCCTGCCCCGACGTGATGGCAGCATGGCCTCACCCCCAATTTTTCCATCATGCAGGGATCCCTCATTCCAAGAAAAACTCTCGGTCCCTCCCTGGTGCAGCCAGTCAATCTCTGGGCATGCTGCTGTGGAACAAAATGTCTTTGTGGAGCCTCCATGGCTGTAGTGGAGGAGTTCCCTGAAAAATTGGGATGGGGCTTTTGTGAATGTCCTGGTTAAAGGCAAAGCTGGACTTCTGATTTGCCTTTATCTTCCTGTAAACACTCTGGATTCCCCAGCTTCAAGCATATTCTTATGGATTCCCGTAAGGGGTGTTTTCAGCAGGCACTGGGAAGGCAGTAATGGCACCAGTGGTCCTTGCTCACCCGCTGCTCCCCTTGTACACAGTTGCACAGGATCCTTCACACAGCTTCTCTAGATGTACATAGGATGTGGCAGCTCCAAACGGGAAGCCTTTTCTCTGCTTCATGAAGAAATTGGTATATGTTTTAGATCGCTGGATAGAACAAGAAGCTATTAGCATGTCATTCGGTAATTAAATACTGATTCATGGCTGGAATAATCATAGGATGAAATATCTCCTGTCTGGCTCTGTGGATGCTGCACACTAACACGTCTGAACCTCTCCACAACATCCTGCTCCTGGAAAGGATCAGGGTAACTCCAAGGCCTCTGCATCCTGCACCTCCAACTTTGGAGGGTGTGGAGCCGCAGGGGCTGCAGTGAGGGTAGAGGAAGGGGTGCTGTGGTTAAATCCGACAGCTGGCACAGGAAAAGGAGGCAAACTGTATCACTGGCAAACCACCATTTTTTACTGACTGCACTGGCTTTGAGCACTTCACATCATTTTCACCTCCCTCCCCACCAGCCATGGATCCCCAGTACAGTTTCTCAGCTCCGTCTGCAAGGGAGCAACTGTCTGTATGTTCCTGTCGTGTCGTGGTAAATGGTAGCGCTCACTCGGAGAACACACAGATAAAACTGCCTTAACCGCAGAGGACGCCTCCACCAGTATCATTCTAAATGCATGTTATTCTCTCTCACCCTCGATTTTTTCATTGTAGATAGCAGTCTGTTAGAGCAGGGACTAAAATCCAAATGCAGGAGTGAAATTTCAGGAAATTTAAATTTATGGCTTCTTCTCTTCCTTAATCCCCTGCTCCCCCCACCCACCACCACATTGAGCCTTTTTCACCACTGTATAATTTACACAGCCTGTTAATTTGGCCCATACAGCACAACCATGCCATAAACTATAAAACTATAAAAATAGTGGTAATGAATGGCAGGCAGCCTGCAAGCTCCTCCAGAGCAGCTACATTGGATGGGTGCCTGCATTATCATTTGATTCAAATATAACAGGATTTGTAATCTATGGCATGCTGCCTCCTCCAGAACTGTAGGTTGTTGGCTCCCTCCCTGTTTTACAATCCTGCATTGGCATAGAGCTTGCTGGAGTGCAGCCGTTCATCACATCAAAGGTATTTATTGTCATCTAAGGCATGGGAGTCCTCTTTCAGTAGCCTCATGAGCCTGAAGCTGCAAAGTTAGATGCTGTCTGGTTACAAGCAAATATGAATGTTTTGCACTCCCACTACAAGTGGAAGAACCCAGGCTTAACCTATCTCAATGCACAAATATCATGGTGTGATATTAAATACCTCTGCTGTAGATGCTCCTTCTGTGTGCAGAAGGCCTTGGATATGTTGGGAGCCCCTTCTCTCTGAAGAGCACCTGCAGTGTCCTGGTCTGACAGCACTTACACACAACATGTCTCCCATGTTGTGGTCTTGATGCAATTAAAATACACCTTTTTTTTTTTCTTCTCCTTTGCTTTTCCTCATCCCTCCGTGTGTAATAACAGTTCATGTGGCTCGCATGAGGTCTCACCCTCAAGCAGTCTTGTGATTTCTGCAGTTTTTCTTTGAAAGTCCAACACGCAGTGATCCAAATTCACCCCTGGAGCAGCTCCATTGATTTCAGCTCATTTGGCACGTGCCCTCTCAAAACAGCCAAGATTTTTTCATAACTAAAGATGGAGAATTAAGCAGTAAATCCAAAATCTCTGCTCATACAGAGTTCTTTCAGTTAAGCAACTCTCAGTGTAATATATGAGGTAATGAAGTGATAGGTTTAATACAGGAACAGACCTTGACTTCCCTCCATGTCGTAGCAGTTACTATTCTATATGTCATTAGGCTTTAAGTCAAGCTACCTGAGCAGCGTGGCTGAGTTGTGCTTGCTGCAGGACCTGTGCGTTGACTCTCCTTGCTCTGGTATTTACGTTCTTAGCCACAATGCGGTGGCAATGTCAGCGTGGGGAGCTGTCTCTCCCTGTTGGATCACTTGTCTAAGGGATGCGATGGGTTGTAGCTAATAGACAATAGCCTTGTCCACAGGTCAAAATAGCCAGAGCAAACTGGTGAATCCAGCCCAAAATAGATTTTATCAATTATGTACTGAGTAGGCAATGCACAGCAGACTTACACTGGATGTGGACAGATAAAAGTCCCCTTCTTTCAGTCCCCCATGAGGTGGGATTTGTGCAGCTTGCTAGGACTGACACCCAACCCACACTAGCATAAAGGCGAAAGGGCTGAGAAAAACACTGGCAAGGGGTGAGGGAGCAAGTGTTGTAATGTGGAATTTTTATGCCAACCCCTGAAGTCCTTCAGTTTTCCTTTGAATGCATGACGTGAAATCTTCCCTTTGCTTCACTGTTTTGGTATCCTTGAGCGAAAGGATTTTTTTAAGCAAAAATGTACTGGGAACAATTTCTGTGTCTCATTGCAACCAAACTACCCAGCTTTTGCATGGCAAGAAGGAGCTAATGTACCTGGAAGGCTTGATTTCTTTCACGTGATTTTCTTTTGCTGTCCCCAGTTAGCCATAATTCGCTAAATATCTATCATCTAGGTTTCAGTCTTCTATTTATTTTCCACCAGAATACAGCAGTAATTTGGCTGTGCTGTCCAGGCATGAGAAAGGTTGTCTAGATGCAACATACTCAGTAATAAACTGGTTATGCAAGCATTGTTTGCACATCTGTACAAAGTTTCCTATTCTGGAAAATATTTTTTATTGTTTGGCCATATCTATACAAATGGACTTTTCAAATATATTTAAGCATAAATAACACTTGCATTTTAAAGGAAAGATAAATGCGCAAAAGTAGACAAATTAAATTATACATTTTAATTCACATGAAATCATTATCTTAGGTATATTCTGTGTCAAGGACTAGAGGGGAATTACTCTGTTGCAAAGAAAAATCATCCAAATTTGCTAGTAGAGCTGGTAAATGAAGAAAATGTGGTAACAGCTGGTGGTTCTGGGTGTTAAAAAAAATAATGGAGTATTCATTTCAGTTAGCAGAGGAAATGCTGTAAGAGAAATGCTTAATACCTACCCTTAGAAAATATAAGGGTTTATAAAGGAGACCCTATACCTGTATTCGGAACCATAGTTCTTAAAGGAAAGCTTCAGGCAATGTAAGAACATCTACTCATTGCTGACACAACATAAAAAGTACCTTTTACAAAACTTGTTCAAGCAGAAACACATAGATATGTACACATACAGGAGTATCTATGTCTATGTATTTTAAACATTTTGTAAAATTTATGCACGTATAAAAACACACATGTGCATGCCATTTGTACATACACACATATACACGCACGTGTACATATAGATAACCATTTAGAGAAGGCTTGTCCTGTAGCAAGGCTCTAGATTAGCCAAGCTGAAAACTGTGGTGCAGGCCTGCTCCCATTGAAACCAGTAGCTCAACTCAGAGGGTTTATGGAGCAGGGAAGGCCGGCCGGGTATAACTGCTAGCTATTGATCAGGTGTCCCGTGCAGGTTACACTGTGCCTCTAATATTTTAAAATATATCTTCAGGCGTCTTTCCTGCACCCTCGGTGCCAACGCTGTAACGGTGGCCTTGCACAGCCAACTTCACCGCTCTCCTGCTCACGGGCCCAAGCGCACTGGGAAGAGCAGCGCCTGCCGAGGGCGTCCTCCCTTGTTGCTGGAGCCTGGGGGAGCCTAGGGGAGCCTGGCGGGG